ATTTTAAATAGATTAATATATTTAACATAATTTTGTTGTACAGCGGAAGTGAATGGCAAGCATGTGGCAAACGGCAATAAAGAAGAGATCGCCGCCAGTGGCGATGAGGTCGATGCCGTGCAAGAGGCGATCGGGAATCTTGGCAAATGGCAAATATTCGTCTGTCTGGCGATTTCTCTCGTCAAGTTTCCGATTGCTTGGCACCAGCTCGCGATCGTCTTCATGGCGCCGCATCAGAACTACAACTGCACCGCGCCGGCACGTGATGAAACGTCTGACCAGTGTATGGTCAATGTCAATGGAACGGTGACAGAATGCACCGAGTGGGAGTACGACAGGAGTACGTTCACGGAAACAATAATATCCCAGGTAATTGTTCAAAAGCTTGTTAGTTTATACGCGTCATCACTCCCCGCTTCGAGAATCCGAGAGCGGGTAGCGCGGGTAATTCGTTCCTTGAATTACAGTGGCGGAGTTCGAATAGATTATTTTTAACAAATGTTTTGTCGCTTAATAAAATTTGCTTAATATAAACTCCGGCGAACGTTCCTGCTCCTCCTCGAAAATGGAATGATGAAAGCGAACCGTGTGATGGATGTAAAAAAAAAAAAAAAAAAAAATGAAATATAAGAACAATTTAGATGCGTTTCATGAGGTTTAAGTCGTGATGGGTAAGTGAGAAGACTCGGTTGGTATGTTTTTAAATAGTGACGTAGTTTAGTTTTGTTCAGTGTGCTACGATCTGTGAAACTATATTTAACATGCAACATAAATCTTAGCGGATACGGGATACACCCTGTTCGGCTTACGTATTTCGTTAAAATTTTTTTTATATAAGATATCGTAGAAAAAATAGGTTTATTGGAAATAACTTTTAACATTTCTCGTCATACCTTTAATGCAGGATATTACAATAATATTTTTGGTTACCATTCATCGGCATATCATTTCACTCATGAGAATTATTTTAAACGTTTTCGCTCATGATTTAATTTTTTCAGTGGAACTTAGTGTGCAGTCGAACACATTACGCCAATATTCAACAATCGATATTGATGTTCGGCGTCCTCCTGGGCAATGTAATATTCGGCAATCTAGCAGACAGGTACAGAAAATCCTAACATTTTAAACATACAATTCCATGAACAACCAAAAATGTTATTGTTTAATCGTCGTACTAGGTACGGTAGAAAAATGCCGTTGATGGTATCTGTAGTTTTGCAATTAATTTCTGGTATCGGATGTGCCATAGTGCCATGGTTCCCGGCGCTTTTGTTAATGAAATTGATTAGTGCCTTAGCCACTGGAGGCACGATGGTTACCAGTTACGTTATTTGTAAGTAATAGATATCTTGATGTCTAAAAGGCTATCTATGTATAATTTCTCACATTGTTAATACTCTGAATATAATGCTAGGTATGGAAATTGTCGGTACTAAATGGCGAGCAGCCATCACAGTACTTTATCAAATACCATTCAGCTTGGGTCATATGTCATTGGCCGGGCTCGGGTATTTCTTTCGCCATTGGCAACATCTCCAAATCGCCATCACCCTGCCATCCATCATCCTCCTAAGTTACTGGTGGATCGTGCCTGAATCTCCTAGGTGGTTGCTCGCCTTTGGAAAGCAGCGTGCGGCTTGCAAAGTTCTGCAGAAGGCAGCTAACATCAATAAGATTAAAAACAAGGACATTCCAGAGTTAGTCAGGCAACATTGCTTGCATCAGGTAAAAAATAAAG